GTCAGAAGTTTTATGTTCCGCATACTGGTTTTAAAGGGACTCGATCACCAGATGTTGGACATATATTGTTATGTCCAGGGGAGGTATTCGCAAATGGAATAATTACCGTTAGGAAACGGTCGCTCATCAAACTCCACTGTCAGTGGGGAAACAACTGTTGAGCTCTGCTCATGCGAGGTTCGCTCAAACCCCCATAGTGCCAATCCCAACAAGGCTGGCTAGCGCTCAAAGTGGTTCGTGCAAGGCTGAAGTGGACGGCCAAGATCCATTCAAATGGGATGGGATGAAGCCCTATGAGAACTGGGATCAGATCTTTCAAGACATTAGTTCTTGCATCCCAGAAGTTTTTGGGGTTGAACTCCCTTTCTCATGCGTTCCAGGGTCCATGTAGCTGTGGGTCAAAAACATGTACCCAAGATGGCTTGCCCTGGTAAATGGAACCATGGACTGAAATCTGGGGCTTATTTGGGGGGTTTTTATTTTGACCCATGCCCATGTGATAACTACTAGACATTGGTTCTTGCAACTCAGATTTTCTTGGGGTTGAACTCCCTTTCTCCTGGGTAATCCTGAGGGTCCATGTGTCTGTGGGTCAAAAATATGTACCCAAGATGGCTTGCCCTGGTAAATGGAACCATGGACTGAAATCTGCGGTCCCCTGGGGGTGTCCGTATCCTAGTGGTTTTAATTTTGACCCATGCCCATGTGATAACTACTAGAGGTCCATGTGGCTGTGGGTCACAGACATGTACCCAAGATGGCTTGCCCTGGTAAATGGAACCATGGACTGAAATCTGCGGCTTATTCGGGGGTTTTAATTTTGACCCATGCCCATGTGATAACTACTAGACATTGGTTCTTGCAACTCAGATTTTCTTGGGGTTGAACTCCCTTTCTCCTGGGTAATCCTGAGGGTCCATGTGTCTGTGGGTCAAAAATATGTAGCCAAAATGGCTTGCCCTGGTAAATGGAAGCATGGACTGAAATCTGCGGTCCCCTGGGGGTGTCCGTATCCTAGTGGTTTAATTTTGACCCACGCCCATGATGACCGCCCATGTAGCTTCTTGTTAGGTAAGTGACCTGAATGGGGGAGCCTTCCGCGAGCCGTGCATTGGGCTCCTGGCGGCGGGAGTGCCGAGGTCCTCGCAGTTGGAGGAGCTGCCCATCGACGAGCATCGGGACAAGCGCCTCGGTGGCAGTTGCGTTCGGCCTCGGCCGAGAACTCGAGCTGGTGGTTTGGTCAAAAGCGCGCAGGGATGGCGCTGAACCTGAAGCCTCCAATACGATGTGGGCTGTGTTTAGGGAAAATACTGCTCCATCATATTTGGCCATGGGGCAAAAGCCAAAGCGTACCCCCAGTGAACATCCCAATCCAACCACTAAAATCGGTTCTAAACTGGCGAATTCACCTACCAACCAAAATGGGATCCAAAACGGTTTTGACCCACAGCCAGCGGATGATTGGAAGAAAGCCATCACAGGGTATCCGAACTTGCTTTTAAAGAGGGAGCCTTTGGGAGCCACCACGAGTTCTGTAAGGACCTGGTAAATATGTCACAATAAGTGTGTCTGTGCGCATTTGGGTCAAAAGTCAAACCTGTTTTCTGGTACCCCTGAGTTGGTGGTAGGATTATGTGGGATTGGAGGCTTGGGGGAGAACCGGAACCCCAGACAAAAAGTGGCTGCCGGACATGTTTCTCCCGACTAAGTCTGGTTCCACCAGCTCGGGTCCCGCAAATAAATGCACAGGCCGAAAGTCTATTCGCACACCTAGGTAATGCAGTTGGGCAAGTTCTAGTGACTTTAATTTGGGGATGTCACCCATGATGGAGGTGTCTTGCAGATCCTTCATTTTGTTTGGTGAAATTGGTTAATTTGCGGACATATGGATCCGGGCCGGACCCAAGACAGGTCCCCGTATGCTTCCCTGGATTTGACTCGTCAAATCCGGATTTCCCAAGAATGAAAAGACACTTGACTGCAGGGGCAAAAGGGGAAGTGTCCTGCTATACGCCTTATGTTGTACTTTGATTCATTGCCAAGTCAGTAAGTGGTTGTTCTACTTACTGGGCTAACTCCACTTGGGGGGCTTGTAAGTTAAGTAGGTTATAGGCAAAGTTACTGGCCACTTGCAACTTGGCTGCAGATCCAAGTAGATTCGGGCGACAAACTGATACTGTTTCTTCTTTTGGTAGTTTGTCTCAGGGGGACATAGCAAGAAACCTGTCTACTCACTGCCTGAGTTCGCTTTTTGGGAAGACCGTTTCAATGGCGAACAACATTCGGACTTGCTTGATAGAGGATCCTTGTTTCAGGATTGGGAATTCTAGTACTCCCCTAGAAATTCACTTGGAACCCAGCAAACCAGCAGTGTTCCTCAAAGCACGACGATTTTCTGGGTTATCTTATGCGGGAGTACCTCGCCCATTCAAGCCTTCTAGGAATTTTGTTTGCCATTCAGCGGCCTACATGTTTGCCTGAACCCTGGTCTCATCCAAACCTATGTTATACTTTAGGGTAGGGGACATATGAAACAGACCCCTTACTCCCTGTGCTCCTGGACTTTCAAAGTTTTGGCAATACCATTTTTGTGATAACTTCGATTGTTGGACTTTTTTCGGCCAACCCACTCAGGAAGTGAGACCCTGACACTCTGACTTTCTCTGTATCCCAGATGTGGGCCAACTTAAGCCAGGTAACTGGAGTTGAGCCCCTAGCTTTTGTTAAGTGAGACTCCAAACTACCAATCCAAAGCACCAAAAGGGAATCTGAGGTTAAGCTCTGCCCCAAGTTGGGCCCCTTTTTTGCCGAATTCCCCTCCCCCCTTCCCAAGGTCGACAGTGCCATGCGCACCCTTGGGGTACACACAAAGATCCATCTTTAGCGTTGACCCCCTGATTTGTGACTTTTTGGTCAGCGATCTATGCGGTTGCTAAGGGTGAGATAGCCTAGGCTTCCCCAAGGCTCCACCTTAAGAACCTCAAGAACCCTCCCCGAAGCGCACGTCCGAATCATTCATGCACAAAGCAGGTTCCCCAGTATCGTTTCCCAAGAGATGGGCGCACGGTGCTTCAATTCCTGGGAGAATCAGTCGCCGTGCCTCACTTCCCCAGTTTTGTTTCTTTTTTCGCTTAGGCTTTGGAGGCCAAACATGGGCAGGATGTCTGGATTTTGTTACGACTCCAGTGGATTCCCTGGCTAGTTTCTCAACTTGATGCCTTCGGTTGCCAGGTTTCTTAAACCGTTTTGGTCCCACTCTTGGGCCAGAAGCAGGCCAGCGCTTTGCTTGAGATGGAACACCTGTCCCCCCGGATCATTGTCTAGGTGCCCCAGTAGTGCCCTTTTACCCTTTTTTGGGGGAGGCTCCCCTGCTAAAATAGACTACACAAAAAAGTTGGTACCCTTATTCTAACCTCTACTGGAGGACCCAGTTGTGGTCTGCCCGAAAAATCCCCTTCAGTGTCTAGCGGTGAAAATCGGCTCAGGGGATCAGTTCGCTTTGCTGAGGATCCTGAAGCACATCGAAAACCACCGCGTGACGTGCCTTGGGTCGGTCGCTTCCAAGACGTTGCTGCCTTCGCTTTCGGAGGAAGCCGTCTCCCCCAAGATCCTTCCACGAATTGCAGCAACTCACTTGCCCAGCGCCGCTTTTTTTAAGGTTTTGGCTTGCCTGATTTAGGTCGACCTGTTAATTTCTGTGTGTTTTGGGCTGAGTAGAACCATCGGCCCCATGAACAATTGAACATTGTCTTGTCCCTGGACCCCCTATGTTGGGAGGGTATTCAGTCGCTCACCCGACCTTGTGCTTCCTAGGCCCAGGCAGCTCAAAGGCAGGTCAAAGGCCAGCGGCCAAAAGGCCATATTTGGGGCACAAGCATCACCAGGTTTGGGGACCTCAAAATCAAGGCCCCGTTCGGGCTGCCAAATGGTTCCATTTTGGGTCTCTGGCAGCTTCTAAGACCAACTCCCTCAGATCCCCGTGGGCTCAATTTTTTGCATCGAAACAAAGAGGAACGCACCAAGGACCTTGTTTCCTGAATACATGTTCAAGCCAAGCTGTTTTACCCAGCGGTTGAATCGCCCCACCCGTCCTTTCTTTTAAAGAGCTTCAACTGTAGCAGAAACCACCCAGGGTTGGTGGCATCATTCTTCTCCGCCAGAGTTTGACCTTAGATCAGGTTTTGGGATTTGGATTGTCCAAACCATTCTGAACACTCCAGAATTGAACTTGAAGTGCGGGATTGCATGGGCAGGGAGGAAGAGCGAGAGAGACAGAGAGACGGAGAGACGGAGAGACGGAGAGACGGAGAGACGGAGAGACGGAGAGACGGAGAGAGAGAGAGAGAGAGAGAGAGACGGAGAGAAAGAGAGAGAGAGAGAGAGAAGGAGCGGAGGAGAGCGCACGAGAGAGATTCTGCTTACCATTCCTTACTGCAACATTGTTGACGGTTTCAAGGGCAAAACGACCGGCAGTTGGCTTAATAAAAACAAAAACTGATGGGCCGCACAACTGTTCTCATGTTTGCGCCCAGTTTGTGGTGCTGGCCAAGCGAATGGAATTGCCGAATTCACCGTCAGGAGTGTGTACAAATGCCCTTTGCCTGCAAAGGCGCTGGGAGGATACAGTTGTCAACACGAGTTGCGCTCCGCTTCAGTCTGCTCAAGGTTTTTGTTTCATTGCTCGCAAGTGAAATGGTCATGGCACTTGCTTCTCCTCTCCTTAGGAGGGCAAGTCCAAGAGCACGTGGGTGCCGGATTTCTTCCTGGGCACCTTCTGCAACAACCTTTACCCAATCTTTCGGACCCTGAAGAGACAGTTGCCTTGAAACAGC